ATTTGAAGAACCCAAGTGCCAGTTTTTCCCCTGGGATTTTTTTTTTTTTTTTTGGTTGGGAGTTTCAAAGGGACTAGGCAGGTGTATTAATCTAATCCTATCAGTTCACAGATAAAGACATTGCTCAGGTGAACTGAGGTCACTCCGTGCTCATCTCCTCAAGAGGCCCAGGAGGCCAACATCGACTGGAAGACTTGCTTACTTTCTAAACACTGCCTCTTTCTAGAGGCAATAACGATAACTGTTTTAGCATACACAAAAAAACAAGTTTGTGCTGTTGGCAACAAGCCCACAAGACATTGTTTTAAAAAGTTGGATCTTGAAGCCAGGGCTTGGGCCGAATGTAGTGAGGAAAACACCAACTAGAAACACAGAGTCCTTTGCATTTGCTTGCTCTTCACTGCTGCTTTGTGTAGAGTTGAAATGTATATTTATAAAGACTAACTTGGGGAAAGCAGACTTGTCCTATTTATGTAGCATAACCTATAGTTTACTGGCAAATTACTGGTTTTCATTAGGCATGATTCGTATTAACTCGCCAAAATTTAATTGAGACAAGCACACACTGACAAACCAGCACAAACGTTTTAATCATTCAACTATTATCGCAGTTTCAGCACAGCAAGAAAAATTTGTTATTGAAAATACCAAGGAAAAAAACTTGCAGTGTAGGAGTTATTACTTGTTATGTTATGTGCTATTTTAATATATATAAGTATGTGCCAGACTTCCATATATATATATATATATATATATATATATATATATATATATCATGGACATCTCATGGGTCACCATTGAGCTTTGTTTTTCTGTATTCCCCCATGTTTCCCTCATTACTTGGCACATAAATATAGAGGAATGACTGGTTGGAGAAGGTGAGTGCTCTACAGTTTGAGAATTGCTGAGTTTAAAAAGATGCACTAAATCAAATCAAGCAGCAAGGATATTGTAAGTGTAAAAGAGAATTTCACAAGGGTGAAATTAATCTGTTTTCCTTTTACCTTATTTCATAATGAAATGAGTGAGTCTAACCAGGTGCTGGTGGCTCACGACAGTAATCCTACCTACTCAGAGGCTGAGATCTGAGGATGGAAGCTCAAAGCCAGTAGAGACTGGAATTCTTATCTCCAATTAATCCCTGGAAAACTAGAAGTGCAGCTGAGGCTCATCCAGGTGGAGCTCTAGCCTTGAGCAAAATAGCTCTGGGACCCCACCTAGACCCCATGACTGATAGAAGGAAGGAAGGAAGGAGTCTTAAGAGTTCAGTGAAATTAAAGAGAAAAAGAAGAAAGCAAAGAAGGAGAAAGGGAAAGGTTTACTTTGTTCCCCAAACCCAGCTTATTGTATTCAAATTCCTGTATTAGCATCTTTAACAAAAGATAAGAGCATTCTCCCTTTCTGCAACAAAGCTGATGTGAACCCTGAGGATATTTACAGCCATCCAGGCCAAGGCCTTAGGCTCAGGCTAGGCCAAGTAGTCTTTTTCACTAGTGTAATTCCAGTCAAAATCTAAGTGTGGGAAGCTCTAAGGTCCACATTCATAGGGACCCTGAAGAAATCCATCTGGCATGTGTACTCAACTTGAGACAAGCAAAGGCGCCAACTTCCAAGGGATTATGTGCACCGAAAAGAAAGACTTTGTCCCAGAAAATTCATAAAGTAGGCAAATTCTTCAGGGCTTCAGTGCGTTTCCCTCCTTCCCTCCCTCTTTTCCTCCTTTCCTTCCATCTTTCCTTCCTTTTTTGAGACAAGATCTCAATGATTATCTCAGGCTGGACTCAAACTAGCTGTTCCTGCTTCAGCCCCCAAAGTGTTGAGATTACAGGTGTGTGCTGCCACACCTTGCTCCAGTGAATTGTTTTCTAAAATTTAGGATACTTGAATGCACAAAAGCTCCAAGATGGCTTTCCTTTTACATACTAGGATACACTTACTGCCCAGGATATTATAAGGGTGCTCACCAGGTTCCTGGTCTTTGGCTTGGCATAGAGAGTAAGTCCTTCACAAAAAGGTAGAATAGTGTGGGAGGGAAGGGATGGTAGGGGAAAAACAGAGGATGAGGCAACAATGCTCAATAGGAAATGTACTCATTACCTTGCTCATGTAACTGTAACCCTTCTGTACAATATTTTTACAATAAAAATATACAAAAAGACCCAGACCTGCACAAAAAGAAAAAAAAAGGTACAATATCTTCCCTCTACCACTTTAAAAGTCAGAACCACCTATAGCTTCACTCTTAACAAGGGTTAAGAGCAAATGAGCATCCCATAGGAAGGTACTTCTCACATGAAGAAAAGTGATTGTATTGATCGTGTTGATCATATGCCACCTGCTAGGGACACTAGCCCTAAATTCTTGTCTCAGCTATCAAACTAGAAAACAACCTATCTGAGGAAGAAGCAAACTGAGTTAATCAGACTCTAAGACTTAGACTAATCGTTGATCAAGTAAAAGCACAGTATTCAAAGTCTAAGAACCTCCTGCTGGCTCCAGTTCTCAGAAATCTGTTTAGCAGAGTTAATATTTCACAAAGCTGTGGGGGGCTTAGTTATAAAGCACAAAAGGTTTGGAGACTTATGGTTTTTATTGAATTCTGTCATTAGTTACCTGATAAGGTACACTTCTCTGTCTTACTCTCCTCATTTATAGGACAAAGGAAAGAAATAAAGTACAGACAATCAAATTAGGGCTGTCCTGAAATGAAAGTGGTGTGTGTGTGTGTGTGTGTGTGTGTATGTGTGTGTGTGTGCATGTGTACTGATCCTGGGGCTTGAACTCAGTGCCTAGGTGTTGTCTCTGAGCTATTTTGCTCAAGACTAGCTCTCTATCACTTGAGCCACAGCTCCACTTTCAGTTTTTTTGAAAACTGACTTCAAACCACAATCCTCAGCTCTCAGCCTCCTATTTAAGATATAGAAGGGAGATTTTTTTTTTTCCTTCAGAGTGGCTTAAAATAGCTTCAAAAATAGGCTTAGAAATTTCAGAGGTATAGCAAAATTCAAAGGTGGAAAAGGACCACTGCATCAAAGAGTCGTGCTAAATTGGGAGCTGGTGGCTCATGCCTGTAATCCTAGCTACTCAGGTGTCTGAGATCTGAGGATTGGGGTTCAAAGGCTGCCAGGGCAAGAAGGTCTGTTAGACTCTTATTTCCAATTAACCACCTAAAAACTGGAAGTGGAGCTATGGAGCAAAGTGGTAGAGTGCTAGCCTTGAGCAAAAAAGTTCAGGGACAGAGTCCAGGCCCTGAGTTTAAGCTCCAGGACTGACAAAAAAAAGTCTAAGCTAAAGATAGGCGACGACCGTGGCTCACACCTGTAATCCTAGCTAGTCAGGAGGCTGAGATCTGAGCCTTTGAGCAAGAGGAGCTCAGGGACAGTGCCCAGGCCCAGAGTTCAACCCTCAGGACCAGAAAAATCAATTAATTAAAAAAGAATTTATTAGCTCTAATTTTTTTTTGATGAATGGCTCATAGTTAATAGACTGTTTATCTTCCTGGTCCTGGGGCTTGAACTCAGAGCTTGGGCAATGTCCCTAAAGTACTTTTGCTCAAAGTTTGTGCTCTACTACTTGAAAGCCCTAGGGCTACTTCCGACTTTTTCTTTGTAGTTTATTGGAGATAAGAGTCACACAGACTTTCCTGCGTAATAGATTGTTGTTGTTGTTGTTGTTTAAGAATTTCCAAACATTTCCCAAGTCATGGTGCATCCAATAACTTTTTCAGATGATGCTTTCTCATTTTTCGTTTATCCTTGGATTTGCCCTGCCCTATTGAGGTGTCCGAAGAAGTGACAGATCCACACTCCATTTCTTCAGCACCTTGTCCGCCCCTCTGTTTTATTCCCAGCCACACTCAAAACAGACAAGGCTGCGTGTCCGTCCCGTTTCCACTACGAGCTCTGCGCGTTTACAAGTGCGGTGCGCTGGCTTTTGGAACGCCTTTCTGATTGGCGGAACCCAGGCCAGTGACGTCAACCAACTTACTTTTGATTGGAAGGCTGGTTGCTGGGACTGTAGCGTTTGCAGGAAGTCACTTAACTGTTTGCGGGCTGGAAAGTCGGAGCTGAGTTGTCTGGGTATTTTTTTTGAATAATTACGATCATTTCTTAATCACAGGAACGAGTGCAACTGACTGACTAGGGGAGGTGGATCCCAAAGCTCCGCAAGGTGGAATTGGAACCCCCTTTGGACCAGGAGCCCCCCTCCCCCCCACAGCCCAGCCTCCCGGGCGGTTACCCTTTTAAATGTCAGCGCTCGGGGCTGTCGGGGTAGCACGAGGCGGCGGGACGGAGGAGTCGGATTGGCCCGCACGCCTCGGCTCCGGACGCCCCCCTCTCCACCTAAAAGGCCCTGCTGCTGGCGAGGCGGGGTGGGAGAGGGAGGGAAAGTAAACAGAGGTGAATCACCCTCCCCGCTGGCCAATTGGAGCGGGTTTGGACTGTGACGTGATGGGATCCTGCGAAACTGTTCCCGAGCCGGAGAATGCCGGAACGGCGCGGACCGGCCGGAGCGCGGGGGCTCAGAAGCCGTCGGTGGAGCGGAGGAAAAGTGTCTCCGAGAACCGGCGCTCGGCCGGGCCCTGACTCACCACCCCGCCAGGGGTTCGCCTGAACGCCCCGGAGTTTGCGGGCTGGACGGATCGCCGCCGATCGAGGGCGTGCGCGCGTTCTCCCTGCGCCCCGAGGGCGGGGGGCGGGCGGGGAGGCGTTGTCAGTGGAATAAACTTGCGACCGCCACGTGTGGCAGCGTTCCAGAGGGGAACCGGCTTGCCGAGGCCGGCGCGCCCGTCGGGGAGGGCGGAGGGGGATCGCGCCCGGCGCGGGGCAGGGCCGGGCAGGGCGGCGGCGGCGGCGGCGCGAGCGGAGCCCCGGGGCCCGTGGATGCTGCGTGCGGAGGCGCTGCCGGTTACGTAAAGATGAGGGGCTGAGGTCGCCTCGGCGCTCCTGCGAGTCGGAAGCGCCCGCGCCCCCGCCCCCTTGGCCGCACCGCGCCGCGCCGCGCCGCGCCGCTGCTTAGTCGTCCGAGGCCAGGGGCCGGGGCGAGCCGGAGCTCCGCAGCCGCCGTCAACTTTGGCCGCGCCGGGGCCGCCCGTCGCCCGCACCATGTCCGCGGCCGCCTATATGGACTTCGTGGCCGCCCAGTGTCTGGTGTCCATCTCGAACCGCGCTGCGGTACCGGAGCACGGGGGCGTTCCGGATCCCGAGCGCCTGCGACTCCCCGCCGAGCGCGAGGGGACCAAGGAGCACGGCGACCCGGGGGACACCTGGAAGGATTACTGCACGCTGGTCACCATCGCCAAGAGCTTACTGGACCTGAACAAGTACCGGCCCATCCAGACCCCTTCGGTGTGCAGCGACAGTCTGGAGAGTCCCGACGACGACCTGGGCTCCGACAGCGACGTGACCACCGAATCTGGGTCGAGTCCTTCCCACAGCCCCGAGGAGAGACAGGATTCTGGCAGCGCGCCCAGCCCGCTCTCCCTCCTCCACCCCGGCGTGGCCGCGAAGGGGAAACACGCCTCCGAGAAGAGGCACAAGTGTCCCTACAGTGGCTGTGGGAAAGTCTATGGAAAATCCTCCCATCTCAAAGCCCATTACAGAGTGCATACAGGTTAGCCGCGCGCGCCCCGACCCCAGCCCTGACCCGGCCGGCCAGCGCCCTAGGGCGCACGGGACCCCCCCCACCCCGCCCTGACCCGGCCGGCCAGCGCCCCAGGGCGCACGGGACCCCCCCCACCCCGCCCTGACCCGGGCCGGCCAGCGCCCCAGGGGCGCACGGGACCCCCCCACCCCGCCCTGACCCGGGCCGGCCAGCGCCCCAGGGGCGCACGGGACACCCCCACCCCCCGGGCCGGGTGGTGGGGCCGAGCTGCTGTTGAATTCTTGGAACTCGCTCCTTCATTGATTCCCAACCCCCCCCCCCCCCCCACCTGGGAGCAAACTCTGCCCGGCTGGGCGGTGCGGTGCGGTGCGGTGCAGTGTGTGCGTGGCTCGGCGGGGAGCCGGGCCCCGCCCCGCCCCTGGGCCTGCCCCGCCCCTCCCTCGCGTGGGACTCCGCCGCACCCCGTGGGGCTGCTGCCCTCCCCCTCTCCCCCCCCCCTCCACCTGGGAAGAGAAAGCTTAAGACGGGAGGGATCGGATGGCGGGTCTTTGTTGTTATGGTTATTATTGTTGTTGTTGTTGTTGTTTTCCTCCCTGGGGTTGGGGGTGGTTGGCTTCCACCCCTAAGCTGGGAGGGCTGCGTGGTTTCCACGTGACTTAGGTGGCGCGGGCGACCTCTAGGTGGATGGTTCGGGTGGAGGTGTGGTCTCAGCCAGAGGTCAAGGCTCCAGAATGGAGTGAGGTGCGGCCTGCTGGCACCTGAGTGGATGGACAGACAGACACCAGCTGGGCAGGACAGGCTGGAGGGGGGGAGTCAGGGAGTTGAGTCTGCCCACTTGGTGGTTTCTAGTAAACATGAACGGGACTCATTGGCATCCATCCGCTTGTGGACATGTTGTCTGACGGTGTCCACGAAGGATCCCTCGGGCTGGGCCTGGTTTTCTGATGACACAGGATGTGTTCTCCCCGTGTCCTGTGACACGAAGCTCTTGGTGGATTGATTTACTAATATTGTGTGTGTTGATGTAATGGGTAGGTGTTTTGGAAAAGTGACCCTGGCAGGGGCGGGGGGGGCTTTCATTTCAAAATTCCGATTTTCCATCTTGTTTTGCTTTGCTTTTTCAAAGAAAGGCTATGTCGCTGCCCCCCTACCCCCGCCCCCTCCACACACACCCTCTTCCTTTGGAAGAGATTCGTGTGGAGGTGGCTGCTGGCACCGAAATAAATCTGAATTTCCTCCGTGATTAATGCCAAATCAGGTTCCCTGGGGGATCAGCCTTGAGGTTGTCACTTAAAACAGTAACTTGGAAAGTTTGTGTCTGTGAGGTTGATGAGAGGCAGGTGCCCACTTTGGGTGACTTTTAGGGTGGCTGTGAGGGGGGTTGAAGCAGGAGTGTGTATTCATGGAGGGTGTTACTCACCAACAGCTGTTGGGCGGGCCTGGCTGTGTCAGCCATGTTCCCAGAGTTCAGTTGCTCCTGTCCACCCCGCACTGCCACCTTGAGCAAAGGCATTTTCTCCTTCAGGGAGCTGCCCAGTGGTGCAGCTGCGAAGGGCTGCAGAGGCTTGTGGAGCTCCAGAGCCTGTCTGACTCAGGAACAGGAGTGTTTCCAGCATTCTGGGGCCATGCAGCTGAGTGCTTTGCTCAGTCATTTATAGAAATGGCTGCTTCTGAGTGCGTGCCTGCGTGCTGCCCGTTAATTCTCCATAAGGCAAGTTGGCTTAGCTGTTCCAGGAGACCCTTTTGCACAGTCCATGATGGAAAAAAAGAAGCAAAAGAAATGTTCGTCCGGTTTTAAAGGCTACAGTCGTTTGTTGTTGTTGAAACTAGTGAGATGGTGACGGAAGAGGTCTTACACTGACGTTGGGGAAAGCAGGGGAGGGGTGGGAAGGGAATGGCTCTATCATCCTAGGAAATGGTTGGGCAAAATCTTTAGCTTCTCTAGATATTGGCAGAAGCCTGTTTCGTACCTCTGAAGTTCCAGTTAACTTCAAGTTAGATCTCGGTGGTTTTTTGTTTTTATTTCTGCTGGTTCCAGAGGGTAGACACAAAGCTAGCGTTCTGGAATTACCTGCCTCCTGTAAAGATCCCAAGAGCCAAGGTGCTTGCCACACCCCCAGATTCCCTGCTACTCACCAGTGCCCTGGAGAGTCTCCTGCTCCCCAGTTTCCTTAGAGAGCCTTCCATGAACCAGCAGCTTTAGAAGTTGAATCATTCGGACACATTTTCCTTTCATCCAGGGCAGCCCCTTCCATACTGTCTTGTGAGGCTGGCGGAGCTGCCGTCTCTTAGTGCTAAGAGCCTAAGCAAGGGACTTGGATTGAGAGGCTGCAAACTGGAGGCCTGCTGCTGAATTTGCGTTGCAGATTTGTTGGCTGTGGCCCACATAGGGTTTATAAAAATTTCATTGCTTACCAACATCGAAAAATCAGGATCTGAGCACACACAACTCCAGATTTCTGGCTTCTGCAGATTGTCTTTAGGGTGAAAGTGAGCAATTTGTGCTCTGGGGGGCCGGGGGGGGGGGGGGGGAGGGGAAGGGGGCAAGGTCTCATGGTGCAGCCAGGGCGGCTTTGAGTGTGAGATCCTCTGGCGTGAGTGTGAGATCCTCCGGCCTTAATTTCCCAAGTGCTGGGATGACAGATGTATGTCCTTCCTATTTTAATCGTTTACATGATCTCTGCTGGCATTTAGGTTTGCAGTCTCTACTTGGAGCCCCGGCTTGTTAACATACAATACAAGGATACTAGTCTAAGCTTACCAGTTATTGTGCAAAAACCTCAAGTGGTAGCTCATTTCTCCTTTTGCTATTTGAATATTTTCCTGCGATGCTTAGACTTGCTGGCTGAAGGGACTCGTACGATCTCCGCCCCCCCCCCCCCCCTCGGGAGCTGCCATCCGCTACTCGGAAATTAATTCTACAACCATTCCTGGCCAACTCTAACTCAGGTTGCCCTAAGCCTATTGCATTCCACACCCCTAGCTTTGGAGTCAACTATTGGATTAAGAAGAGTTAGTGTCATCAGCTATGCGATGAGAACTGTCTCTCAGGACTGGGAATGTAATTCATTGCATGCCCAAGGCTCTGGGTTCATTCTCCAGCACCAGAACCAATACCAAGCGGGGCCCAGATCCAAGTCTTGCTCCCTAGGCCTCAGCAGCCCACGAAAAGCATTTCCCAGTCCTTGTCACTTTCTCCTCTCAGCCTGAGTGGAAGGGAAGTACTAAGGTAGTCCCTAAGGAAGTATGCTTTGCCCATTTCCTTTCCCATGGCTCCCCAGGGGGATGTGGAATGGTATTTCACACCTGGCATGCTTCCTTAAATTGGATTCATGACTAAGCCTAAAGGGGGTTTACCCAGGTAACTGTTTCTCTACCTCCCGCCTCCCCCATATTCTCACCCCCAAGGAGTCAAGACAATTTTATAACTGCCCAACCCATCTCCCATGAAATTTTAATACCACCACAACATTATCGAGCTATTTATAGACCTGCCCCTTTATAAGGCCACAAATCATTATAATAGGTAAGATTGTTTACACTCACCAAAGAAGTAAATTTTACCCCCTTGGGGATGATGTCACCCCACCCATACCCAGTAGGACTGTCTACGCTCACTTTCAAGAGTCCTGTTAAAGAGCAATGACAGCTCAGCTTAAAGGATATGTTCCTAAGCTTGCACAAGTTTTGCTTTTGAGTTTCAAACAAGAGAGGAAGACTCGGTTGAATCCAGGGAAAGATGGCCTTACAGCTCTACAGCTAAAATCTCTCCTAGGGAAGGAAGACCATGGCAGCTCTTGTGGGAGGACCATTACCTGGTCTTCCTCATTTCCTCTGTGTGTGTGTGTGTGTGTGTGTGTGTGTGTGTGTACACTAAGGCTTAAAGTCATGGCCTCACACTCTCACTTGGCTTTGTCTCTCAAGACTGGCCCAGAAGTTGGCCACAACCACTTAAGCTACACACCTACTTCTGGCTTTTTGCTGGCCAGTTGGAGGCTCACAAGAGGATCACAAACATTTTTTGCCTTGATTGGCTCATGATCTTTGGATCTCAGCTTCCTGCATAGCTAGAATTTACAGGCATGAGCCACCAGCGCCCAGCTTTCCCCCCTCATTTCTTTCTTGTCTGCAGCTTATCTGCTCTAGCACTGCCAAAGTAGTTGCCTTGGCTTCTGCAAGGCTGGCTGCATGTGTGCTTCTCAGCAGAAAGCGCAACTGGAGTAAAATTATAGTGCACACAGGTCATTTCCTTGACTTTCCTCCCAGAGGCGTGGATGGTGAAGAGGGAGAGGAGGGTGGGAACCCTGGGAGGGAAAGAAGGCTCCAGATAAACAAGACCCTCTAAATGGGGCTATCCCATTACTGTCAGATGCAAAGATAGAACCTAAGGGAGTGGAATCCTTGGATTTGGGGTCAGATTTGCATTCCTGTCTCAATTGCTGACGTCTATCCCAAGAACCAGTCATTCTGCATAGTCTGTGGGAAATTCCCAAGTTGAAATTCCCAGGGGAAAACATCACATGACATATTGGGAAAGCGGCTGATGATGGTCTTCCCTAATAAGTTCATTGAGAGAAGTGGTGGATGATTTCCCAGAACTTACTCTTTCAGGAGCCCCTCTAACCACAGTGATCTGATTAGAACCTGCTTTCTAGCCCAGCAGTTGAATCTCTGAATGCCTTGTGGTCATTAGCATTCTTGATTAGAGAAAAAAAAAAGTAAAACACACATTTCTGCTGTTCTTGTTAGTCTTGATTTCCAAATCTTCTGGATCTCTCTCTCTCTCCTTCTCTCTCTCCCTCCCTCCCTCTCTTTCCTTCTCTCTTTCTCTCTCTCTCCTTTCCCCTCTCCTCTCTCTCTCCTTCCCTCCCTCCCCCCCTCTCTCATCTGTTCTCAAGCTTGGGCAAAGAGCTTGCATCATGCAATGCTTCTACAGCTAGAAACCTCCCACACACCTCACCTCCCACCCTTCCCTAATGTTTCTCTAGCAAACCCAGCGCCCACTGAAC